GACAAGAGGGAATGGCTTCAAACTGAAAGAGAGTAAGTTCAGATTAGATATTAGGAAAAAATTCTTTATTGTGAGGGTGGAAAGGCACTTGAATAGGTTGCTCAGAGAATTTGTGGATGCCCCATCCCTGGAAATGTTCAAGACCAGACTGGATTGAGTTCTGAGAAACATGGTCCAGTGGCAGCTGTCCATGCCCATGGCAGAGAGTTGGAACTAGATGATTTTTAAGGTCTCTTCCAACCCAGACCATTCTATAATTCTATGATCCTAGTGACAAGAATGAGGATTAACTAAATGAAAAGTTAATTTCTTAAACTGATATTTAATAAGAAAAGTCACCACATGGTTCATAAACAAAATTTCAAAACAACTGTTAAATCCAAATATCATTTATATTTTACACTAAACTACAGTCACAGCACTTGCAAAAATGTCTTCAAGCAAGAGAGAGAGAGAGAGGCACAAGTTCCAATTCCTGAAGACCACTGAAACAAAGCACAATCTGGAAAACTGAAATGTTGTGGGGTATAAAATTCAGCCATGCTGCATGACAAAAGAGAGGAAGAACAATATGAGGCACAGGCACTAGTGATTATAATCCCTTTGTACGGAATTATCTGAATCATGGAAGAGCCATTTGCTATACACCTTCGTTTCCTGCTACCCTCTCTCCCACCTACCCCAAAACTCAAGAGAGGTCTGCAAAGCAGTCCCTACACCACTGCAGTCTAAGGAAGCTTCACAGAATGCTGAGAACTGCAGTAGCAGCTTGGGATAAAATCCCTTGCAGCACCACAAGTTACCTGCTGTCTGCCATACGGTCTGATCACAGAGTACCCAACCCCTTGGCTGGTAGGACCAAGTCAGCTGAGCAAGTCAGCTGGTTACAAAAGGAAGCTCAGCAGGAGATGTCAATTGCTGCTAACAGCTTTAAATGGTTTATGAGTACCTGGTGCCAGAAATCAGGCACTAACTGAAGATACAGACATCCGCTATCAAGACAGGAGAAATTCTGGACTTAGAAAAAGAAGAGGTGAACATTACTCTTCCATCCTAATTGAACCCAGGATGAAGGAAGCATGGCTCAAACATGACTATGACTTGGACAATACATTTCCATCTGCTAGAGTGTGGAAAGCCATGAGCTAATGAATCCTGCACTATTGGCAAACCTTGTCCAATTAGCCTGCAGTGCTTAGGAAGCGGCATATAATGGGAAGGGTATTTCCAACCCTCAGGAAACCCTGCAAGTCTCAACGAAAGACCAATAAATCACAGAGCTTCTGTTTTTCAATTGTTTGGGTTGGGGTTTTTTTGTAGAAAAGTATCCCTGGCAAAAAACGGGTATTTTTTCCTCATCAAATTTACTTAACTTTTCCACCTCTTACACGTGCCTTCGAGAGCACCAGTTCTATCCCTGAGCACAAACATAATAGCTCACCACAAGAGCCAGTGCTGATAAAGGCCTCCATATCACTACATAAACACTCATATGAACAGCTACACCAGTGTGCATATCCCTTGTTTAGCAACACATTCATGCCCACTGGCACTAACAGCACCAGCTCTTGGGCCCTTCCAGGCTATTTGTTACTGAACAGCACCAAGCTGACTTAGCTCCCACAGACAAACACAATTGCGTCAGCAATGCCACACTCCAAATACCTAGAAACTCTCCAAGCCTGCAGTAGCCCCTGGGCAGTCACCTACTCCTAAAGGGACTTTCAACAGAGATGAAATCAGCAAATACACCCCATAATCCTTGAGCAGAGTAAATGGCCCATGGAGCATGGGATCCGTGATAGCAAAATTACAGACTGTAGCAGGGTATAATTTCCTGCATGGACTGACTTGAGTCTCTCTCTTTATAGTGAGTTCTCCATAATTGGGTATTTTTCCTGCTTGGGAGAAGAACAGAAATCAATCTTTATCAGTTTGATGAGTAAGATTTTATTTATTCATCTTTCTGTCTATACTTCATTACTTCCCATAGTCCCCAGCATTTCCTCTAAAGGAACAGAAATGTCCCTTATATATCTACCTGAAGAATCACATAGAAAAATAGTCCAAAGATGTTTATCTAAACCTGTTGAAATTTTCAAGTAACAACTTTATGGCAATCACTACACACACATTTCACAGGTTACACATTCAAATGCCAATTTTGTTAATTATTTCAGAGCTCACATGTAGGAGAAGGGTGAAGCTACAATACCATGAAGGCGGCACTTAATATCTACAGTTTGGGTTGGACTTTGCATACCACTGTCTAGCAGAGTAATTAAGTACCAGTTGCTTCATTTTAATAAAGAGAAATCAGTTTCCAACAGTTCAGCTAATACTCCCACATTCCTTTGTATTTTCTTCTCTCTCAATCATGCCATGTACAAGATGATGTTCAGCAAAGTATTAATGAAACCAGTTATGCCCACTAACACACAAAACTGCCTAGAACAGAAAAATTCTTAAACAGTTGCTGTCTATGCAGTTTACCATCATCCCCATGTACCAGAAGGGTATAGGGAGGGACTGGGTAAGTTCATCCACTAGCACTGTGTGAGGGGACAGAATGCAAGTGTCCCTTGCTGCCTGCACTGCTCATTGATACCTCGCAACCGGGCAGCAGCCTCTTGCCAGAGTCAGTTCACAGCCTCCTAGCAGTATGCCCAATTGGCCACGCTGTTGGAGAAGGAATGCAGGAGCCCAGAGACTCATGAGCCATGAGAAGCCACCAGGGGATTCTCCAGCTGTCCTTCCCTGGTCCCTGCCCACGGCAGTGTGGCCAGGCAGTGACCTGATGCCACTGGCAGCCTGCCCCAGCTTACGCTGCTTGACACTGCCGAGGGAATGACAGAGCACTGCGGAGCAAAGGGAGGAAGGCTCGAGAGGCAGCTTTTAATTTTTCCACAACTTCTGCTCCACAACTCCCTCCTCGTGCAAGCCTTCTACATGGGCTCACTTCTGCTTCCCCACATGACTAACATATCGAATGCACTGGAGGCATCCGGGACAAAAATCAGGGGATGTCCCAAACCTCCCATTCCCTCCTACACTGTTCTCTCCCGGCACAGCTTTAATTCTGTTTTCTTCCTATCTACAATAGAGATGCTAAAATAATTAAAGCAATGATTCTTTTACTTTGGATAAGCTTGTTAAGGGCGCTTTCTGCTTAAAACCATGACAAATGTACTCTTTTATTATTTACACAAATGACTTTCAGAGCATTTTCTTGATGGACTGTTATTATTAGTGGATAATAGGCAATCCGAAATGAACATAGCATGAGAAACTTGAAGAGAAAAGGAAAGATTTAAAACTAAATAATTGAAAGAAACCTCTTACTGCACTTGGCATGACAGCATGATTTAGACAGAAGACAGCATTATACTGAAGTAAGAATGTCCCTGTTAGCTCTTTCAGAAATAGCAGAAAAATCTGACCACCTCAAGAACAAAATCAGTGGAGTCACTTTCTGGATTCTCATCTGTTGGAACCATCATAAACAACTGGTAGATCTTTCAGAAGAGAGAACATCATCTTGTCTGTTAGTACTGTCGAGGGGAAAAGCAGCAGGAGGGACAACTTCCATAATACTTTGTAATAAAAGTGTTCTCTACTTCACCTCCCACCAAAAATTCAAGAAAACCAGCTAGTTTAATTACAGGAATAACCTAGAGGGAGCACAGACACTGTAAGAATTTTTGGTTCATGATGCAAGCCTGAATGAAATACTAACAAAACAATAAAAAAACCATCGTCCTGTTTTGGAATATTCTGTTTCAGTGTAAAAAATGGTCTTTTTGAAGCATAAAGAACACAAGCCAATTTTTGTCCCTACACTCCCCAACAAACAGATGTAAAAACCTGGTTGCTTCATTCAGATGAGAATTTAGTAATACAATATATTGTCCTATCATACCTAAAACCACAGGCAGTGTGAACACAGATTTTATAAATCACATTACTTTGAGTTTGATAGTGAAACTTCTGTTCACTGATTTAGTAGTTTTCATTGCTAAACTCACACAATTAAAACAGTCAACTTCCATTGCATACTTTAAATTTTAAAATGTTCAGATTTCAAGTACTCCATGATACATGACTGTTTCAACAGTCATTACTGTGCTTCTGATTTGTCCATTTGAGACATCTGACACCTCCAGCCAGGGTCAAACCACCATACACATGCACTAAAACCAACTGGGAAGTAAAATACTTTCATATTGACACTCAACAGTGAAAACCTGACAAGACAAAACATGACTAATTGCTGACTAGTTTTTCCTTCCCAAACTGAAAGTACTTGAAACAACATTCTTAGCTGCAATTCCAAAGTACTTACAAACAAATTGTAACAGCTCTGCAAAAAACCACACCCTTCATTAGGTGTTTCAATCAACTGACTTCACCTTTCTGTAGCACCAAGATATACACATATTAATGATTTAAAGGTTTAACAAAGTGATGGTGTTACAAGAAAAGATGACAGAAATTTACATGCAAGATATTAACAGTCCTCTACTACAGAATCACCCTGTATTTCATGATGCAGTTTTTAAATACAGGTACTTTAAAGAACATCTGCTGAGAGCCAAGGAAGCGCCATTCAATCTAAAGAAGCTCTGATTTCAAATGAAATATAACAAGCAGCACAAAGGCCACCCAATACCCACCTCGACACATTTCACCATGTGATTACAGTTCAGTCACAGAAGTCAAAACATGCCTGGTAAAATTCTCAAACTTCACAAACCCAGATGTCATTCCCTATTTCTGCTGGTTTGGCCACCCAACAGGTCTAGGAAATGACACAAGCTCATCAGAGCTCAGCTGCCTTACTTCATTTAAGATTGTGTTCACTGGCTGACTGCAATAAAACCATGTATCAAAAGATCCTCTGCATTCTTTTCAAAGACAAGACTAGATGTCAAATTCTCCTTCAAATAAAGCTGCTTTTGAAAACAAACCAAACTGCAGAAAACAAACATAAGAAACTTTACCTTAATTGGAGCCCGGCTAAACTGTATTTTTCTGTTGGCTGGGATTTCGTCTTCATCTGGCAATCCGTTAATTTCAGAATATTCCATATCAGGTTCATAACAGTTATTTTCATCACTGTCATCCAGATCATCCTGTTCTGTACCTGTCTCCCCCCAGTCAGAATTATATCTGGATCGTACCCGATACACATTGTAGTCAGAGTGCATGTACACATGGGAACTCTGAAAATTATTCACATCTTCATGCACATCCTTTTCACTTGCCTCATCATAATGGGACTCAGTAACATCTGAAACAGCATCTGTGGCAAAATCACCACCTGAAGCTACATTTCTTGTTAATTCTGCAGCTTCAGGCCGATCTAAGACACCTTCCGTACGTTCTGACCGTTCCTTTTGTTGCAACAAAACTCCTGGCTCTGTTTTTGACTTACTCCTAGCACAGGTGTCCACAGATCTTTCGCTGTCAAGCACACTGACCAAATCCTGTTTACCTGCTGCAGAGCTCTCAACAGAATCAGCACGTGTGCTCTTCTTTATTTCTTCAGCTGTTTTTGAACTTGCAGAAGTGCCCGTGGACACCTTCTGTCTCAGCGCCGAAGGCACGCTAGTCTGTTGAGAGTTCTCAACAGACAACACGCCAGTACTCTGTTTGGCTGGGGGAGACCATGTGCTGGTCTCTTTCAAAGGGCTGAAACCCTCAAGGTTTGCAACTGGGGAGGAGATACTGGTGACAGCAGAGGAGAGATTTAGTGGATAGTGGCCAGTTACCGAGTACTCTTCGTTGTTTTCCGACTTTTCTACAGGGATTACGTTGTGTGAGTCAGTGTTTTCAAAAACTGCACTGAGCTGACTCACAGTTGGAGAGACAGTCTCTGTCCGTGGGCTAAGACTGTCCAGTGAATCAGTGCTGCCTCTGTGAGACTTAGAGCTGCACCATTCGTCCGGAAGCTCATTGGAAGCAACTTTCTCTTTCTTTGGGGAGTAGCGATGTGAATGTCCCATTTCGTGAGCGTTTCGCTCAAACATCTTCCGAGTTTCAGTAAACTTGGAATAGGAACGGCCATCGTGGATGGTATCAAACCTACTAATCCTTTCTGAGACGGACGATTCCAATTTTACAATCGAACCATCCGCTTTTTCTACAAATTGTTTGGGCCTAATTCGCCTTTGAGGAGACGGAGGGCCACCCTTCCCCCTGGTTTTAGGGGGAACTCCACCACTTTCAGTGGGCTCCATGCCCATCTGCATAAATAAGTTCTTAATCCTATTGACATTTGAGCCATATTTCCTTCCCCTGCTCTGCGAGGCCTCTCCTTCCTCTTTCGCTTTTTGGTCTCCATCTGATTTCGGTTTGTCAAAGGTGCTTTTCAGCGCCTGGAACTCAGTTCTGTAAGCATTTCTGTGAGGAGAGGCACTTCGGAGGGTTGATCTTTCTCCTGAAGACTCTGTTTTCATCATGTTTACTCCAGGAGTGCAAGACCTGCTTACATAGTTTCTGTGGCACCGCTCTCAGCAGTTTGTCACAGCTGAGATTCTGCTTGAGGAGTGTTTTTCTCAGAGGCCACTGCTCTCTGGCAGGGCTGTGCTCAGCAGAAGATCTGGAGGCAAATACCTAAACGGTCAGTTCTGACAAAGCAGTGCAACCGAGGGCTCTCGAGAACGGCTGATTTAACCTGCAATAGAAAGGAGGTTTTTCTGAACCACGGCAGGTACTTGTACTTTAAACCTGTCACAACTTCCATTTATCGTTATTTTACACGTCTACAAAAACAAAATAGTAAAAAGCCCCACAACAGGTGAAAAGCTGGCATTGCAAACTTCTTTAAATCCACTGTTGCATAGTTTACAGTGTATAACATCATTCCACAGTGAAAGAACAGATCATCGCATCTTACCATTCACAAGTATAGTAGCACAGCACAAACACATGCAAAGGGAAGGCAATGTGACGTGCAGCGTGAGGCACTGCAAGACAACCCTTGCTCCCTCAGAGAAACGCAATGGTAGAAATACCACCAAACAAAACACGCTTAGAAGGGAAAATCAAACATCAGCTCGAGGGAATGCAAAAAAAACCGCGCCCGAAGTTAACACCCTCAGCTGTCACGGCAAAGAAAGTGAAATCCCGTTAGAGAAGTTGCCCCTTGTCACGGGCAGCGGGTTCGGCAT